CTGGCGGCCATCCTGAACGACCTGTTTGGAGGAGTGGTGTACGCCGGGATTGACACAGATAAGCACAAGTATCCCATTGGTGAGTGTCCCACTTCTGTGTGGGGAAGCGTGCGGCCTCTGGGAGGTAGCCCAAGAGCATACTTCCCCGTGGGAGCGAGAGGCAGGCCTGGCCCAGGGCTGCAGATGGCGCATCCCAGCAGCAGAGCGTCTTTTTCTAGCTAAGCCACCCTCTGCGCCCACCCTCCCCCTCCTCCCATGAAAGGGGGAACACACAGGCAGGGATCTAGGAGGTGAAAATGGGACAGGAACTCGGGTGGGAAGCTCAGAGCCAAACCGTCTGGGACAGACAACAGGTCATCGTTCACGAAGAGGCCAGTACTTCCCTGAACTTGCCTGGCTTCCTTTATTAAGTGTCCTGTGCAGGGGCAGAGTCCAGTCAGGCTGAGGGAGAACTGGGTGACCCCCAGCACAGGGCAGTCTGGGCCCAGCCGCTGGGTTCTGGTCAGCCCCTCTGAGCAGGGAGGTCACTTCCAGACGCCGCACAGGAATCTCAGGGGCCGGTTGGAGGTGGAGCCTTGAACTTAGTGATCGGGACGTGGCTGACCCACTCCCCTCACATGGAGCCGTGTGCATTGGTGCTGCACCTCAGACAGAGCGGCCTTCCGCGGTGCGGGGTGGGGGTGGGGGGGCGGCCCTTGGCCGGACGAGACTCTCCCGGCTCCCTGCCTGGTCTCCAGGATCTCGGACGAGGGTGTGGCTGCTGGGCCCACCTTCAGAGAGAGGCTCTAGCTGAATCTTGGCTTCCATTCTGAGCCCTGTAGTCTTCCCTGTGCCCCTGCCTGCACCAGAGGGCTCTTCCCTCCCCATCCCCGTTAGCAAGCCTTCCCCTGTTCCTTTGGGGCTGGTGCCTATGTGGTCTGTAACCAGCCGTCTGAGTTGGTAGCCACCCACTGAATGTGGCTGTTGGGCCGCTGGAAATGTGGCTGGTGCCACAGGTTAAAACGATAAGGTTTTGTATATATTGGGTTAAGTAAAATATATTAAAGTTAATTCCACCACCACCAACTCCCCCCCCCCCCCCACACACTTAGATGTGGCTACTAGAAAACTTAATACATGAGTTGCTCACAATACATTTCTATTGGACGTCACTGGTCTAGAAACAGGGTTTCCTGAGTGCTGACAAGTGTTGAAAAGTGACATGTGGGAGAATTTGGCTAGAATGTCATTCTCGGGCCATACAAAATTATCAACTTAAAAATTAAGCCTGCTCTATTTGGTCAAACACTTTATTAACTCACCCCAGTGCCTTGGCAGGGCCAGACCAAATGCTTTCCCCGGCCCATACAGCCTGAGGGTTGGGCATCCCCACCCCTGTTAGAAGGTGAATTTGTTCTGCTGTTTCTACAACAGGGTCTGGGCGCGTGACCTTCAATAATCAACGCAGTTACCTGAAAGCCGTCAGTGCTGCTTTTGTGGAGATCAAAACCACCAAGTTCACCAAGAAGGTGAGGGGCTGATCTGTCCCTTCCTCTGGGCCAGTTACCACCAGGGCAGCTGAGGCGGAGCGGTCCCTGTGCTGAGTGTGCCCTGGGGACTCACGGGTTCAGGTCTCGGGGGCGCCTGGTTGTGGTGACTCAGGAGAGGGGCCATGGCTGTTGAGCCTTCTCAGCCTGCGGGGCGCCTTCCCTGGCTGGGCATTGCTGGAGCCTGACTCCTTCTCCTGATCTGTGTCCTTTGAACGCTTCCCTGGGTGGGAGACTGGGGGTGCAGTGAGCTGGGGGGCCAGGCAGGGATGTGTGTGGTTGCCCACACTGCAGAGGCTGCCAGTGGTGAGCTCATCTGTCCCCTGGGGTCTCCACACTCTGCGCCCCTTTACCCCAGGAAGCGCCCTGCATGCAGGCGGAGAGCCCCATCGTGCACCCTCCCTCCCAGCCACTGGCCGCCTGGCCATGGAGCCACTTCCTTCTCCTGTCTCGCTTTGTGCAGGTTCAGATCGACCCCTACCTAGAAGATTCTCTGTGTCATATCTGCAGTTCTCAGCCTGGCCCTTTCTTCTGTCGAGATCAGGTGAGTCCCCTGGGCCCTTAATTAAAAATGGTTCCGCCAGGTTCGTCACAGAGTGTTGGGGTTCTCGGGTACCTTGTGGTTGAGCACAGAGGAGGCGCTGGTGGTCAGACCAGCGGCACACTGGGATGGTTTGACCCACAGCTCTTGGGAAAGCTCTCGAGTTGAGTCTTGACGCTCGGGCCTTCTCCTTTTACACGATGTTGGCAGACATGCGGGCTGCTGATCATGGGTGGGTTCTGGGGGTGACAGGAACCTGGGTGGGCCTGGTCAGCAGGACCTGTGAGCCAGGCAGTGTTGTTCCAATTCTTAGGACTTCGAAGCTGCTATTCTCCCACTCAGGGACCCCTGGACTGTTTTGATGTTTATACCTGGTTTGTACCCCCAGTTGTCAGACACAGGCAGAGAGCACAGCACGGCAGCTTCTTGTTGACTGTTTCTGGGTGGCCGTGCACACATCTGGGCGTGTTTTTCAGCAAAAATGCTTCTTACACTTGAATGTGTGTGCACATCGCTTGAGGACCTTGTTTAAATGCAGATTGTGACTCAGCGGGTTTGGGGTGGGGCCCGAGGCTCCGTGTTTCTGCCAAGTGTCCAAGTGGTGCCCCTGCAGCTGGTCTGTGATACGTGACGGGAGCTTGGGGCCTGGCAGTGCGTCCACGCTAGTGTTTGCAGTGGTCGCTCAGGCTCGGAGCCCCTGGTTGACCATGGTTAAACCGACGCTCCCAGGTGAGGGTGTGCAGTACCTTGGATCTGAGGATGAGCATCTCTCTGATCAGCCTCACCACAGGTTTTGGGGGACCCTCCATTTTTAGGTAATTGCTCAGAGGTCAGTGGTTTGTCAGAGGTTATACAGCTCAGAGCAGGAGGCAGGACAGAGCCCCAGGGGCTGTCACCTGCCCTCACTTCGGCTGAAGAAGGAGGCATGTCCTTTATATTGGGACCTGGAGTCACTGTCTGCAGATGTCCTTGCAGGTTAGCATGGAGGTGAGAGAAGGGCGGGGCCTGAGGAGCCGCTGCAGCGGTGAGGGGTGAGGGAAGCTGTACACAGTGGGAGCCCTGAATGTTGGATGAAGTCAGGGCACCTGCAGGAACACAGCAGGTTTCCCGGGTCGATCAGGCCTGTGTGAGGGGCTCCAGGTTCCCGAGACCCTCTCTTCTAGCACCACGGAGGCCCCAGGAGGCCCACTCCCTCGCACACGGGGCCTGCGGCTGACACCGGAGCGCCCTGTCTCCCTTTGTCCACACAGGTGTGCTTCAAGTACTTCTGCCGGAGCTGCTGGCACTGGCGGCACAGCACGGAGGGCCTGCGCCACCACAGCCCCCTGATGCGGAACCAGAAGAACCGAGATTCCAGCTAGAGGAGCCGGCCTTGCCTGGTGGCCCTCGGCGCCCTCGGCTGGCAGGTCAGGCAGCGGCCTGCCCCCCCTGGGCACCTGGCGACCAGGGAGCCGGCTTCCCGAGGACAAGGGAAGATCGTAGTCACCTTTGCACTCGCTGAGTCTGTCTTTGTTTCTGCACTAATTAACGCACAATGAGTTTTGTCGGGTTTGTTTTCAGGGGCTGGGCCAGGGCAAGGACCCTCTGGCTCACCCTCCAAGCGACTCTGTAGTTTTCCCAGATTTTAGTTCCTCATTTTGCCGATGAAAAGCAAAAAAGAATTACGTGTCCAGAAGGTATTGACACGATGCCTACATCTAGGTTTATTTATTAAAAGCGCTTTTTTTACATTCCTTGCAATACTGATGGTGGTGATGCGCAGGTCTCGTTGGTTTCATTCTTGCAGTTGCCATACAGTGCCTTTCCATTTATTTAACCCCCACCTGAACGGCATAAACTGAGTGTTCAGCTGGTGTTTTTTACTGTAAACAACAAGGAGACTTTGCTCTTCATTTAAACCAAAATCATATTTCATATTTTATGCTCGAGGGTTTTTACCGGTTCCTTTTTACACTCCTTAAAATAGTTTTTAAGTCATTTGGAACAAGAGTTGTTCTTTTTTTTTCTTTCCTGGCAGCTTTTAACATTATAGCAAATTTGTGTCTGGGGGACTGCTGGTCACTGTTTCTCACAGTTGCGAATGAAGAGGAAAAAAAAATTGCAACCAAGAAAAAAAATTTTTTTGAATTGCAAACTGGACCGGGTAAAAGGTGTTTGAGCAGCTGCTGTATATAGGTTTAAACGGTTTATTGCACCTTCTGAAGTTGCACTTATTTGGGGGGGAGGGTTGATAGAAGTTTTTAATCACAAAGTCACAGGACTTCTTTCTTTTGTAACTGAGCTAAAAAGGGCTGCTTTTTGGTGGGGGCAGAAGAAGGCTCACAGGAGCCCTTTCTCTCAGAGGGGACAAGTACCCTTCCTTGTTTCTTTGATTTGAGAAATGTATGGAGCAACCGTTGCAGTGGATGGAAATGCTACTGGGATTTGAAAACTTGACTTTTTCTTTCTTTAAAAAAAAAATCGACTTGCCCCTCTTTGGGAAGCTGTGTGCCAAAGAACCAGTGTCATCCCCCCCCCCCCCATCCCCTCCCCGCTGAGCTGACCTTGCATTGTTGCCTATCCCAGCTACTCTGTGGGTTTTGTGAAGCTGTGTGTGAAGTCTCTACCTCATTGTAGTATATGCAGGCAAGACTGCACTCTCCTACAGATGTGTGGAGTAAGCTGTGGTGTCGTTTTTTTTGGCACATAATAAACACGTTGCAGCAGACTCCTGTTCTTGTCTCATGTCTCTGTGTCTGAGGGGTGGGGGCTTGGGGGCAGTGGGGTAATAAGATTTCAGAGTTAAAAACTCACATTTCCACTCTGGCTGATTTGGCTCAGGGGATAGAGCGTCAGCCTCGGTCTGAAGGGTCCCGGGTTCAATTCCGGTCAAGGGCACGTGCCTGGGTTGCGGGCTTGATCCTCAGTGGGGGGTGTGCAGAAGGCAGCCAATCATTGATTCTCTCTCATCATTGATGTTTCTATCTCTCTCTCCCTCTCCCTTCCGCTCTGAAAGGAATAAAGAACAAAACAAACAAAAAACCCTCACATTTCCTCCGATTTTCAGTGATGAGTTTCCAGCCCAGGTGGATGGTGGGACCTTGCGGGGGGCCTGCCTCTGTAAGTACTCTTGGTCACTTCCGTGGTCAAGTGCACCTTGGAGGTGGTACCACCAAGGCCAAGTGTGAAAAGCTGCTGGGGGCTCCTCCTCTCTCGGCCACAGACCCAGCTTGGAGGACGTGGGGGCACCGCTGCTCGGCAGCTTTTTGTCTCACTTTTCCTGTGAGCCTTGAGCCCGTGTCTTCCTGTTGGAGGGCCCTATCACCTGCCCTCGTCCTCGCAGGCTCCCGATTTGAGAGGGTCTGCTCATTCCGTCAGGTAGGCTGTGCCGGGCCCATCTGCTGGGCTGGTCCTTTGGAAGATAGCATTTTAGTTTGAGGTGCAGGAACCCTACACCCTCGGAAGGAGCATCCCGTGGCAGGTGCAGGAGCCCACACATGGGGTCGGGAGTCCCTCAGCCAAGCAGAGCCCTCACCTTCCACTTGAGGCCTGGATGGCAGCAGCTTGGTGTGAAGTTGGCTGGTAAAATAAGTTCCTGCAACTCTCAGAGCGAGTCCGCCTCTCCCCTGCCCATATATACATCGACTTCAGAGAGGAAGGGAGAGGGAGAGCGAGATAGAAACATCAGTGATGACAGAGATCACTGATGGGCTGCCTCCTGCACACCCTCCACTGGGGATCCAGCCCAGTGCGGGCATGTGCCCTGCCTGGGAATGGAACTGTGACCTCCTGGTTCATAGGTCAACACTCAGCCATGGAGCCACGCTGGCCGGGCTTTATTCTCCTACGCCCCTACTCCATAGAGCAGGGGTCCTCAAACTACGGCCCGCGGGCCACATGCAAATACAAATACTGTATTTGTTCCCGTTTTGTTTTTTTTACTTCAAAATAAGATATGTGCAGTGTGCATAGGAATTTGTTCATAGTTTTTTTTTAAACTACAGTCCGGCCCTCCAACGGTCTGAGGGACAGTGAACTGGCCCCCTGTTTAAAAAGTTTGAGGACCCCTGCCATAGAGCCTTCCATTCAGAGTGACTGGACTGACCGAGGTGATGGGTAGAGGAGTTGAGGAATGAGGCACAGCGCTGTGCCCCTTAACGCATCCAACCTGGCCAGCCCAGCCGTTCCTTGAGTCAGTTGGGGTGGAGGGTGGAGGTGGTTAGGTCTCCCTTTAACAGAGTTGGAGGGAGGGGGCAGGGTACTGCCTAGGCCAGTGGTCGGCAAACTCATTAGTCAACAGAGCCAAATATCAACAGTAAAATGATTGAAATTTCTTTTGAGAGCCAAATTTTTTAAACTTAAACTATATAGGTAGGTACATTGTTATTCACTTAATTAGGGTAACTCCTAAGCTGGCCTTTGCTAAAAACGTCCTCATTCTGATTGAGGTACATTCGCTGAGGTCGACCCCTTCCAACTCTCCCATCCACACTCGTCTTGTATACTTGTTTCGTCTGTCTCCTTTCGTTCATCCTCTCTCTATGTCCACCCCCCACTTCTACGGCCACTTCTTCAAAATAGACTCGCCCAGGCCGAAAACCGACTTCTGCGCATGGGCCACGAAGTTTCAATCGCACTGTACGTGCGCGCCCGCCCGTGGTATTTTGTGGAAGAGCCACACTCAAGGGGCCAAAGAGCCGCATGTGGCTCGCGAGCCACGGTTTGCCGACCACGGCCTTAGGCTAATGAGGCCACCAGGGGGGCCTGCGCTGGTGGCTTAGCGGGCCGGGTTTGGGATGGGCATGGCAGAAACAGCCTGGAGACGGTGGTAGTTGGAGAAGGTGCCTCAGTTGGCAGCATTGCAGGTGAGCTGGGCCCTGGGCTTACATATCTGAGAGCTTGCTTTGTGCTGGGCACTGTTCCGGGCATGGGGAGGAGCTGAGCCAAAGGGCCCTGGCGCCATGGAGCTCGCCCCTGATTGACTCGGGTCACTGTGACAAGGAGTAAGAAACATCAGCGCAGCTTTGAAAGGATAGTGACGCTATGTACGTTGGCGGGAAAGCCCCTCATATAAGGACGTTTGAGCAAAGGCTGGGGAAAATGAGATCAGCTGTCCCAGGTGGACCGGGCCCCCACCAGGCTGGCCCGACAGATCGCTGACCCGTGGACCAGGTGGGGGTCCTGGGCAGGGCGCCTCCTTCCTTCCTCACCTTTCCACGCCCCCGAATGGCTTCCCAAGGACTCCGCCTCCCTCCCTCCCTCTGTCGCCCTGGCCTGGAGCACAGCAAATAGGCGACCTGGTCCCAGAACCTGGGGCTAGAGAAGCCGGACCAAGGCTGCGCGGGGCGGGGCGGGGCGGGGCGGGGACATGGAAACCGGAGACCGGCCGCCGGGGCTTGCGCCTGGGTCCGGCCCGCCCGCCGGGGTCGCCGCCCTCCCCCCTGGTCCGCGTTCAGGAGAGCGGAAGGCTTTCTTAGCCCGGCGCCCTAAAAGGCCTCTCTTGTGTTTCCTGTTCCCTCTTTTCCACAGGGCACCCCGCCACCATGGGTAAGGTTTTCCGGGGCCGGAAGTGGCTCTTTTCCCGCAAATCAACCTTCCATCCACGTCTTTTCGTCCGGTTCTCAACCCCGCCGACCCGGGCCTTCCGGGGGGCCGGTTGGGTCCCGGGTGTGGTTCACGCGTCCCAGATCTTGTCCGGT